CGCAGTTCGGCGTTTACAGATTTTGTGGATTTCATCCATTACATTTATAAATAGAAGGGGACTTAAGCTATCTCCCTGTCTAACCCCTCTCGCAATTGGAAAAGGTTCCGATTCCATACCGTTCATTCTTACCACTGCCATGGCTCCTTGATAGGCTGACTGTATGGCCGCCAGCAAGTCTCCAGGTACACCCTTGGCTATTAGGGCATTCCAAATTTCTTTTCTTGGAACCACATCAAACGCTGACTTCAGATCAAGGAACGCAAGATACAGATTTTTATCTCTGTCCCAAGCTTTTTCAGCAATATTTCTGAGAACAAAGATGTGATCCTGCATCTGTCGGCCTGGACGAAAACCAGCCTGTTCCGCTTCTAACTGCCCTTCCACAATCCGTCGGAGTCTCCTTTCTAGTATAGAAGTATAAAGTTTATAGACCACTGATAGCAGACTAATGGGTCTATAATTTTTGCAATCTGTCGTGCATCCTTTTTTATAAATCGGGAGGATTATACAATATTCCCAGTCCATGGGAATTTTCTTTCTGTCATATACTTCTTGGAACAGCGATTGTAGTGCTTTAAGAAGTTCTTGACCACCGAATTTTAAATATTCTGGTGCGATTCCATCCCTTCCCGCTGCCGTACCTCTTTTTAGCTTATGGATTGCATTTTCTATTTCTTCTTCCTCTATAACCTCCAGGCTTTCTTGAATATTGGGCTCTTGTTCTTGATAATGGTCTGTTTCTGGATTTTCGGAGAATTGTTCCTGGAAATATTCCTTCCATCTGCCAAGGATCTTTTCCTTGTCTGTAAGTAGGATTCCATCGCTACCTTTTACATTTCTAATAGGCTTGCATTGTTTTCCTCTTAACATCTTAACTTTTCGCCAAAATGTTCTTATAGATTCGCGGTGATCCTCGCTCAGCCTTTTACCAAACTCCTCCCACGACTTCTTCTTCGCCTGGCGTATGGCTACCTTACATTCATTCCTGGCTATTCGATATAAGTGTAGCTTTCCTTCAGTTCTATCCATAAGGTATGCTTTCCAGGCAAGCTTCTTCCGAGAAACCAGTCGTTGGAGATCATTGGTCCACCAGTCTGTCCGCTTTCCCTTGCCAGACACTCTCTTCTTCCCACAAACTGTATTTGCTGTTTCCAGAATACATATTTTCAGTGCCTTCCATATCTCTTCCACATCTCCATCGAATGACGTTTCCCTTAATTTATTTTCCAGGCTTTCTGTAAAGAGGACCCTTTTCTCTGGGTCATCCAAGGCTCTTACGTTGAGGGTTTCAAATACTTTTGTTTTCCTTTTATACTCCGGGATGATCTTTGTATCAGCCACAAGTAAAAGGTGGTCACTGCTTATCTCCGCTCCTCTTACTACTTTTATGTTCCTATACAGCCTTAATATGAAATACTGCCTTATGTTCCTATCATATATGAAATAGTCAATTATACTATTTCGTTCCATGCATGAGAAAGTGATTTTGTGGATTCTCTTGTGTGGATAGAAGGAATTTCCTATGAGGAAGTCATTATGCACGCAAAAGTCTATTAGCCGTTGTCCATTAGTATTCCTCACATTCTCACCTCCATGCAGCCCCAAAACTCCATATCCAGATCTTTCATCATTTCCTGTTCTGGCATTGAAGTCCCCACTCAGGATTACTGACCTTCCTTTTCCTTTAGCTTTATCTACTATTTTTTGCAAATCCGAGTAGAATGCCTCCTTGTCTGCAACACTAGCATCTTCCGTTGGTGCATACACCTGGATTATGGAAATCTTACCTATGGTCATCTTAAAATCTGCTACAATCATTCTTGGAGATATCGGCTCCCAGTCCTCTAAATGATCATACATATTAGGCGACATTACTAGACCCACTCCCTCCAGCTAACGTGTTAATACCTTTAAAATATGTAATTTTGGAGTTATTTTTAACTCTACTCTTAATTCCTTTATTTATGCACCTATTTCATAAATAATGTTTACTATGAAAATTTATCCCTTCTTAATGACTAATCAAACATAATTTTAAGTTATTTCATACATAACTTGAAAGAACAAAGGTTATCAATATTGTGTGATTCACTGGCATTTTGGATTTGAAAAATCTCATTTTCCGTTGTTTTATAAACAGTGATATCTAAGGCGATACATAAATATTGAAGTATATTAAATCTTGTTATTTTAAGTCAATTTTTAAATTTCATTTTTTTTTTCTTTTTTAAAGAATTTCAGTTGTAATAAACACATCTGGAACTGAAATATATTGCAATTCATTTTCCTGTACCATTTGAAGTCTACTATCATTCCTTTGAGTTTCAAACAACATTATTTTTGTCACATCCTAATGTATACACTGCTTGTCAGATGTTTAGAACCTGCTAAATGTTTTAAATAAAATTTGATCCATTTCAGACTATATGAAGCTCAACTAAAATTGTTTTTTAAATAAAACTATAGTACAACAAGTTCCTAAAATAATACAATTTTAGACGAAAATAATTTTTCCATTAAAAAACAAAACAAAAAAATCCTCCCTTATTTTTCAAGACAGCTTTGACTACTTGTGTCATTTTTGAAATGAGTTCGTCCAGTTTTCCAAATTGCATATTATTTCAAAAACTATTCAGAAGTTTCCATAAGTTTTTATTAGATTAGAGCGTGGTCCTGAACTTTCAGGCTATCAATCAATATTTCAAGGAGCTCAATTTGAATTGCCATTCATTGCCAAGTCATGTTTTTTAAAAATCTTCATTTTTTTTTTAATTTTAAACATCCTTGATAAAGTTAAGATTAATATTTAGAGTTTATATTCAACTGCATAATAAAACCAGAACTGATTAAATGAAAAATTTGTTTATACAGCAATTTTTTTAATAATAATTCCTGTAGTTTGTACAAGAACCGAGTCTCATACTTTGTAGTTAAAATTATGCTCTATATTTGATAGTGGATTAGTAGTTGACCATTGTGGATATATTGAAGAGGAGTCGTTTAGGGGTGTGCAGTCACAGCTAACTAAGTAAAAATAAATAAATTATATTTATTTTTATTTTCATCGACATTTCATCCCAAAGTTGATGCCTTCATCTGGGCTAAGAAAAGACAAGATAACAATAGATATGAGAAACTAGTAACAGTAAAAAATAATAGAAAGGTAATAGTGAAAGGTATAGTCTAATAACATGTAGGTAGAATAAACTTAACATTAATAAATATGTGGAAAGGCAGAAATATGAATTATAAAATAATGGTAACAAAGTTCGGAATAAAAAGTAACGGAAGCAAAGTTAAAATATTTAACATAACAGTAACAAAGTTAGGAACTTATGAAATAAATAATAACGATTTAATGTATAATAATGCTATACACAAATTTTGTCTATCTTATGGTGGTGTACTTAGAATTTAAGTATCTGTAATAGTTTTTTAACAATTTTTTCTTATTCAATAAAAAATGTGACCACCTTAAGAAAAACACTAAATTAGTCTTGACTCCTTTTCCTTTCAGAATTGACGCATACATCAAATGAACTTTATTGGAAATTTGATCTAACCTCCCAGAGTTAGTTCATTAAGAAATGAGACACTCTGTATATCCTAACTTTATTATCATTATTTTATATTTCCTTTATTTATATTTCATATTTCTGCCTTTCCACATATTTATTAATGGTAAGTTTATTCTACCTACGTGTTATTAGACCATAACTTTCACCTACATATTATTATTTTTTACTGTTACTAGTTTCTCATATGTATTGGTATCTTGTCTTTTCTTAGCGCCGATGAAGGCCGAAATGTCGTTACTTTGTTATTTGTGACTGAACACCTGTACTAACTCCTCTTCAGTTTGCACTATTTTTCTGATTGTGTGCAACCAATTACACAGCGGGAATTAGATTGTAACTCTGAAATTTTCATTTATGTGCTCCAAATCCTTTTATCCAGTCCTCCTCTGTTAAATCATTATAAGCATGTGCCTACTAATACATTTTCTTATTATTAGCTTGTAGAAGTGGTTTTGATGTATTCCATAAAGTTGGCATGCAGGTGAATATATTTATACACACACCTGGCTGCTTGAACTCCTTCCTTTATGATTCACTTCTGCCTCAGCCTTTTTGTGCTTATGCCCAGATATCACTAAACAGCCATATTTAAACAATTATTCTTTTTATTTTCTTGCTCATGCACCTACATGATTTATTGAAATAGCTAAATCTTCATTAATCAGTGGTACATCATTATTTTTAGGTACCAAAAACTTCAGTGTTCAGTGTCACTTTTATTTTCCTTAGTTTATTATTTGAAGATTACAAAATAAAACATTGAGTCTTTCTTTTCCCCTTTTTCCCTCCCTCTCCCTTTCCCTCTCCCTCTCCCTTACCCTCATTCTTTCCCTCTCACTTTCACTCTCTCATTGAAATTTACTCTTTCTGATCAGCTTTCATATTTTTTTTTTCAGTCTTGATGTTTTAATTGGTTAAATATTGACTGATTATTTATTTATTGTCATTTGAGAAAATCATCATTTTGTCTTGGATTCTACAAATAATTATTTAATAATAATTTTTGACTTTTTGACTTTGACTAATAATTTTTTTTTATGAAACTAAACTTTTTCTTTTAGGAATGTGCTTTTTTTACTAATGATATTGAATCTTTTTAAGAATTAAGAATTCAAGATTTACTAGAAATTTTAGAGGTTTAATATAAGAAAAGTCTTAATTATAACATTGTTTTCTTAAGTTTTGAAATCAGACCACAATTCCTACTCTTGAAATATTGCTTCTCTGAACTCATTATGTGCCTTACACACACATTACTGTGTGTCTACTTTTACATATGATTTATGTGTGTATATATAAAAGTGAGTGTGTATGTGTGTAAATAATAACACAAATCTTCTTTAAAAAACGACCTACGTTGTTATTAGACTCAACATTCATGCTTCCTTTTTTTTTTTTTTTCCTTTGTTTTATTTTTAGGGAACATAAAGCAACACTCAATGAGAAGAGGAAATTTCTCATTCATGATTGGGAAGAATTTAAGGCTGCTAAAAGACATGAAAACATGGGGCTTTTTGAAAGACCTATGTATGTATTTATTTACTCTATATATTTCTGAAAAGAGTTTAGTTTTATGTATTTTCATGGTTTGTTTTTATAACATTGATTTCAAAATTTATGATTTTTTTTTTTTATTAAATTGAGGTACTGATATGATAACATATTCAGTTTTGATTAAATCTCAGAAGTTGTTAAGTTCTTGCTTGCTTGAAAGATCAAGATTTTAGCTATGTTTACAATAAATTCCTTATCTTTTGACCTTGCTTGCTATGTAGGAGATAGTTTGTGCATGTAATCATGCAATATTTGGTAGCAGGTTCTGGTGTCCAATAATAATCTGAGTTGTTCTTCTTTTCAACATTTTTAAATCTTTGTTGAAGAGAAGTATAATAAACAGTTAAAATAATGTACCACAAATATAACCTATAGTTTTTTAATGTAGAACCGAGTGAGAAGTTAGAGCAGTTTGAAAATTAGCATACTTTGTAAAACAAAAATAGCATTCTTCATTTATTTTTCATAGATTACTCATAATCTGTTAATTTCTCTAATAACTAAAGATCGACCGATAATGATATTAGTATAGTTTTTTTATTGTATCAACCAATATCAAAAGGTTATATACCGATATATTTATTTTTCTTATAGAAAAAAAATACGTCTTTATTACCAATAAAGTGTTGATAATTTTTATGCTTCCAATAGGTTCAATTAATTCTGAGAGAAGTAATTCTCAATCAATTCGCTGCTGTTACTGTAAAATAAACACATTGTTATATCGTCTTTTGATATTGGCCAATACTGTAATAATAATTCCCAGTAAAACTATAATAAAATACCAATATTTTAAGGCTGATATTGATCCCTGGGTGATTGATTGGCACATTTATTCTCCAAAGAAAGATGGATAGGTCTATATATCGTTCTTTGAAATTATTGTGTTGGCTGAAATTTTTCTATTCTGCGATCCTTCGAACATTGGTCGAGACATTCCTTTAGCAATAAAGAGAATATTCCAAGTGAAACTTTACCAACCTCGGTGAAATAAGGCCGAAAGGCATGTATATCAGTCTTCGGAATATTGATATTGGCTACAATTCCTATATAGATCGACCCCTAGAGAATTGTTTGACACATTTATTTGCAATAAAGAGATTATTCCAAGTGAAACTGCAGGAAAGTAAAGAAAAGTCAATATATCGGTTAAAATTTGTATATAGGTTGATCTCTAAGTGATTGATTGACAAGTTTATTTAGCACTTAAGAAAAGTTTCTAAGCAACACTATACAGACCATGATGGAAAGAAACAAAAGGCGAAATGTATTTAATACATCTCTTTTATTGGCTAAAATTTGTATATTTGTCGATTCTTTGATGGTTGATTAATACATTTATTCAGCTATTAGGAGAGTATTCCAGGTGAAACTACAAACCTTGGCAGATATAAAAAAACCAAACCCTATATCTATCTTTGAAATATTGGTATTAGCTAATATTTCTGTATCAGCTGATCCCTATTAACAACATGTCTCTTTCAAATTGAAAGAGCATTCAATTTCCTTTCAAACTTATTTAGAGTTGTTATTACATGATAAAGTTCATCCTTAATTTCTATTTTGATTTGCCCAATTTGCCTACAGTTAAGGCAATGCTATTATGCACAATCAAATTATAGTTTTTAAAAAATATATTATGAAGAACATAAAAATTTATAGACCAAAATATGCCTCATCATAGTGTTCTGACGGCCTATCAACTTCTAACATTATAAACTCTCCTAAATAAGATATAATGAACTTTGTATCATGTGATTCTCCAATAAATGATTCGATTATGAGTTACAAACGAAAGTGATTTATAAAGAACGTTATTGGACCATCAAATATTGTAAGTTGCGTTGTTAACAATATCCAATATGTGGCAAACCTAATTAAAAAATGGTTGTTTAAAATTTTTGAAGAATTGATAAATTAATCTTTAGATAAAAGCATTTATTCACACATAATTTTAATATTGATAAATTGAATTAATATTTGTGCTTATTACATATGCATATGTATATTTATATTATTTTGAGGATATGCATGTATTATGTAGCTTATTATAATGTATAGTATGAGAAAAAACAAAACACTTAATAATGCATGTAGTAGAATAATAAACAAAAACGAAAATATCAACAAATGTGAGTGGAGTCATTCACCTACCGTAATGTGTACATTTTATATTTTTTTAACTGCCTGTCATTCATTGATATTAGGATCTTTTGTACTAAAATCATACCCTACATTCGAGGGACTGTTTAGGTAGTCTTCAGCAACTTTAGGAATATTTCCTAATTCTTCAATCTCCTTGTCTTCATCATCAGTGTTAGTATTTCTTAAGTCAGGGAAGTTCGTGCAATTTGTACCATGTTTAATACTTACTCTTTTAATCTACATAGGTAGTTTTTTCACACTCATAAAACAATGTGGCATTCCAAACTTAACTGTAGGTTTTTCTACAGATATTTTACAGCCTGAGCATTTCTCTGTTTAAATTTGAAGAACTGATTTTCTGAAGGCTGTCATAAAATGTTTGTATCCATTAGATACTGCAGGTGAAATTATTTTCTTAAAAAGAGAAACTAGCTCATTAACTTTAGCTTTAGCCTGGTGTATTGGACCATTAATGGGTATATTTTTCAATTGTTTGAACTAATTTAAAACTGCAGTCTCCAAATTGTTCTGTCGAGAAGCTCAGAATTTTTATACTATATTGCACTTTTGTTGCTCAATTATCTTCCTAAAAATCCTTATATAGTGGAATATGGCATTCCCTTTACATTTGTGAGACTACTCCTTTAATCTCCTTAAAGGAGATCCTTTGAAAAATTATTCAAATTTTTCTACTACAGAAAATGAATGATGAGGCATTGTTTTCGATAGAGGAGAATTGAATTCTGAGTCAAGTGAATGTTTTTAAAGACTATATTGTTCAAAGTGGAAACCTTTTTTTTTAATTACAGGCAGGAATATTTACACTTACTTTTTGTTCACTATAACAAATAGCTAACAGTTCAAAAGATATTGGAGTATGTCCCTTTTAACAAATTTATAAATCATAAGTAATGTCCTTATAAACAATGCATTTTGTCTAAGACTTTTCACAGGACACACACATTTATTGTTTTGATGGCATAAAAAGGACATTTGTTAAGTTTAAAACTTCCATTTTATTATGTAGAATTAAATTTGAATGTTGTTTCTGTATCATTATGACTATTATAAATGATTTCATAATGAGTTATTATTGTATTCATAGTTTCTACTATACTTAAGGTGTAAGGTCTTTTTTTTGAAAAATTCTGCATTAATTAGCGCACTTGACCGAATTTAAAAATGAGAGTGGTCATTAGAAAGTTAATTAGATTATCTATAATGATTATCCTATACATTCCCCTGTAGAATTGATTGTTAGTTTACTATAGTAGTGCCAAGTTTACAAAATAGAAAAAGATTAAGCATTATTTGACTACCAGTTTTGGATATATCCCTTGGTAAAATTTTCATGTTTCAATAGCCATTTAACACAGAATTTAATGCTATAAGTATAATATACCAATTACTTTTTCAACAAATTAGATAGTTACAGAGTTATTTTTGGTAAACCAAGAATATTCATGAAATGTCTAGGAATTTTAAGAATACTGCTTCAAGGGCGCTAAAGAAATCACTACAATCTCAGTTTCTTCTTATTAGAGGCAGGATAAATAAATTGAAAACAAATCCACCTTTAACTGACTCCCTTTTAACCAAAATCCTAATTTTACTGGCATAAAATTGCTTTTAAGACAAATAATATTATTTCAGCCTTCCTTGATTTGAGCCTTCTCACTTTTTTTTTTTTTTTTGCGCTCATTTTCATTGTCTTTCTAAATTTTGGTCTGTCAAAGACATATAAAGCTGTTCTTGCAATCATTTTTTGGTAATCCTTTCCTTGGTGTAGGAATAATCATATTTAATCATTATCATTCCTGGAAAATTAATCTTATTTTTGTTTTCTTTTTCCTTTAAGTTTGTATGTTGAGCTTGAGATCCATTTAACTTTTTATTATTTAGGGATAGTTTGTCACATGGTAAAAAGCATGTTAATTTTTACCTATTTTTTATCTTCTGTTACCACGATTTAATCAGCCCTCCGTTGACCATAATAATTTATTTTCAAGTGTCAGATTGAATTATATTAAATACCATTACTTGAAAAAAGGTTTTGTATTCTAGCTAATAGACAAAGATGATTCCTCAACAAGACATCTCTTCAGGCAATTTGGCTTTTATGGTCTCTTTAAAATGAATTCTACTACAATTTGTTGGATATTCTGCTTTAAATCATTTGAAAATGTTTCTGATTTCCTGCTGCCAGTTCTAGTTCTGAGTCACCGACTCTATGCAAAGAATTGGTGCAGCCTCTATCCAATTGGTCCAGTACTATATTATATTGTTATTTGACATCAGAACGTTTGATAGATAAATTCTAGGGAAAACACTACATAATAGTGTAAATAAAATTTTATACTCAATTCTTCGTGCCTGTAATAATGTATTCTGCTTACGCTTCTTATCTGGATAAGCATATAATTTCAATTAAATTGTAAAGGAATCAATTTTTTTAGTATTAGTTAAAATGTCAGTTGTAGTCATTGTCTTTATAAAAAGTGAAGATATAGATAATCAATATGTATTAATCATAATGTGATCTGGTATTGTGAAGATGAGACAGTACAGTAGTCCAGTTGAACCTCATGCAAAATAAATATAATAATCTACTACCATGGTATATCACAAAGAAAATGCAGAACCCACTGTTGAATTCATTTATCCCTAGTGAACTAATGAAATGGTCTTCCATCAAAACAGTGAATTTTATGATAGAGATAAAAATTGTGTTGAGGGATAAAAATAATGGTGACTTTGTTTGTTTAAGTTTTCCTGAGACTGTTGGTATCAGTCATAAATTTCTGTTTTGACTTTGAGAACCACCTTTTTTATATCTTTGCGATTTAATATTATATTTGTTTTGTTAATGTAATCTTCTTTGGCAATGGCATCAATTTTATTGGTTTTATCTGTTTTTGTGGTTATTGTATTAGATCGAGTTTTTAAAAAATTCTTTTGTAGTTTTGTTGATTTTTTGAGTTTTAGTGTGTTTTCTAATTTGATTGCTATTATATATATATATATATATATATATATATATAAGATGTCCCGTAAGTAGAGGGAAATTTTTATAGGAGTGATAACAGATCTGAAGTGCTACAAAAAAGTTCATATAAATAATGGGCCAATTTGCAGCAGAAAAGTAGGAAATCCAAGTTTTGTGTTTTTTTTTAAGTGTCGTGTGTTTTGTTGAATCAAAAGTAATAACTAAAGAAATATTTTATTTAAGTAATTAATAATTGCTTCATTGTAAACAAGACAAAATTTACTTTAAATGAACACAGAGTTTATCATTGTTAAAAACCATTTACAGAGGACTTTCGAGCGGCTAAACTAAGCTAAGTTCTGTGTTTAAAAAAATCATAAATTATTCGAGATTTTGTTTTTTTCATCATCCAACTATACTACAGTTAACCCACCCCTGTTAGGAGGGAGAGGGAGAGGCAGTGAGACAAACACAGAGAAATTAGTTAAATAATAGTTTATTCTATCTAGTTGAAAAATAAACTTAAACCTATTTTTAAAATTAGGTGATACCGAGGGTTATTCCTTTTATTGCAACATCACTTTACCTTTTCATTGACTAGTTGCTGGCTTGTCAGAGATTATATAAGAATTAGTGGTATAATCAGTATGTAGGATTATTCCTTTATTCCTAAATTAATTAATTATTTTTTTTCAATTTAAAACCAAATTAAGTGATATATAAAAAATTAACCAGCCCATTAATATCGATCAAATCTATAATTGTGACTCAAAATTGCTATATAAACATAAATTTTGCCTTAAATCTTTATCAACATCTTTGCTCACCTAATGAAATATTTACATCAATTTTTTAGCTTTACAATAGTGCGGATTGGTTGAATAATGAATACTCAAATAAATATTGTCGTGCTCACTCTCCTGGGACGGTAATCGACTTGTTTCTTGTTGTTCCTTATAATTCAAGGTTGCACAGGCATCCTCTTGTGCTATAGGTGGTTGATGTTAAGTTGTAGTGATCATTCAATTATGAATGATTGCAGAGCATGTGACCAATCGTGCTCTGAGGTCAGATTGAAATTTTTTTTTATTTTTATCTGATCGGTTTAGTACTATGGGGTGTCGCCGGGGCCCTGGCGGCGCTGTGGGCGGACGGCAAAGCTAGTTAGTATAGTAGGTAGTATGCTTACTTTCCGTGAGTGCCCATTGACACTTGCACCCTTTTTGTCTGTCGGAGGGTGAAGTGAGGTTAAGGGTCGGTTAAGGCCTTAGGGTTAGGTACGGCCCTCTCCAATACCCGCACTCCATATGACGGCAAATTCACTCTGAATACTTTCTGTATTCAAGTAGAAATGCATTAATACATTTGATCATTTTTGTTAATATCTTTGTATCAGGTACTCAGTTTTACCTATTTATGATTCTTACATCTCTTTGTTTCACTGGAAGTTCATTATAAAAGAATAAGTAGTATATTGTACCCTGAAGCTGTGGCCACATTTTTTATAAAGAAATAAGGTCCTGTTCTAAACCATTTAGCAATTAGTTTATTTTTCTATATCTATCTCAGTCAAGTATGCAGAAATTTAAAAAATGGAATTATTGTTAATGTTTACAAAAACATAATTATTCTTCAACTGTTTATTACTCATTATTTATTTTTAGTGGTACTCATGGAAGACCAGCAGTGCAGATAGAAGAACTGCAAGCTATAAATCTTGAAGGCCTTGACCCGGACATACTTGCAGAATCTTGTGAGTGCCATGTTTGTCTGGATGCTTCGTCTCACACTCCTGTATGTATTTCCTTGTATTTATAGGCTCATTTTTATAGGCTTTTGTAGTTGTTGTTAATTTACAATAGAGTTAGTGCTAAAGATTATTAAAATCAATTTTCGTCATGTGTACTTCCGTATACTTGATTATCTCAGGCCATTTAGGTGTTCGATAATTGTTTTTATTTTATTTTAAAACGATAGAGTTAAAATCAGTCAATCACTGTCATTTCTTTGAGATAATCAATTATCTGCTTACAATAAAGTTGAGAATTCTTAAACTACAATCAATGGTACAGGAACTTGAAATCATGAGAAGAAAAATTGCTGTCTGCCTGTAAAATATTGTACAAGAAGACAATATCTTTTTTTCTTATAAATTCTTACTAGTATTTTAAAAAGGATTGAGAAAAGGGTTAACTGAAGACCAAAGTTGTAATTATTGTAAAATAGGATTAAAGTTTAAGATACCTACCACTATTTGAACATAGGGATTAAGAAAAAATTCTATCATGGAAATACAGAACAGCTGGTATATTGAGCTATTTTAACACTTTGAGTAACCATCACTAGATTCATAGTAAATGGGGTATGTGTATAAAGCACTTTGCTCTAGTGTATAGAATGCACTTAATCTTATTTATTTAGAGCAAACATAAATGAGATCAAGTGCACTCTATTTTCCTGACCAAAAAAGTACTTATACTAATCTAGCTATATTAAAAATGATTTGTAGAAAACTCATGTGGCTCATAACCATATTATTTCTAAATCATAAAATTTTACTTAAAACCTTCCTTAAAAAACATTAATTTGTTCATCCATCTGGATCAAAATAGAGTGGTGCCTTGCACAGGCGAATCTACAGGGGCTGAAGCCCCTCTCCCCCCCCCCCCAAAAAAAATAATGATAAAATATAACCATGTTTTATGGGGAAAAAAATTATTTCTTAAAGTATTATTGTTCGTGTAATTACATTTAAAAGGACTTTAGGAATCACTTAAACACCATTCCATATAGGTAGTCAGTTTCTTAATTTTTTTCCTAAGTAATTATCGTTATTTTTATGAAACCTTTCGGGCTAAAGCCTCCCCCAAAATTAAATCCTGGATCCACTAGTGGTGCCTTGATATTATCCTTGATAATGGATAAAAGAGTGATTAAATAATTTAAGTTTCAATGGAAAAATTCCTGTTTTTTTTTTTCTTTTGAGAAAAAGCAGAAGATAATTTTTTTTTTCTTCAAACACTGGGATGGCTTAGGACCAACTTCTTGATATATAACCGATGGTATGATTATGATGATGATAACAAATTAAACTAGTTTCTGTAGAAACAACATGCCTAAGAAATAAAATAAAAAATATATATACATGGGGACTAATATCTAAAAAAAAAAATGGGATGGCTTTATTCAGCACCAAGAAATGTATGTATCAAGTTTCATATGAATATATTAGTCATTCTAATAAGCTGATAACATCTTTATGAAGTAAAATGATTTAATAAAATGAAAAAAAGAATTTTTTTTTTGTGACACAATGTCTCCGTAAGGTGGAGAGCGAGGATCTATTGTTTTCAATATCTCTGTGCAAAATGGATAATGAAATGACTGTGAACGTGAAATCCTGTATACATTTTTTAGAATAAAGTAAATCAGCTCTCTCTCTCTCTCACTCTCTCTCTCTCTCTCTCTCTCTCTCTCTCTCTCTCTCTCTCTCTCTCTCTCTCTCTCTCTCTCTCTCTCTCTTTTCTCCTTCTTTCCCCCCGCTGTACCTTAGGGCAATCCTATACCAGCGGTACATCCAATTTTTTAAGTGAAAATTATTCCGCGGATTTAAGGGCTCGGTCACCAGGACTGGTAACCAAGCGGGCACGTCTGCTCTCACTTTGATCCAAAGTGAGGCAAGATTTAGTCTTTTAATTTGATTGGGGCATTAATTATTACAAGTATGCCTACACTAATGGGCTGCCTGCAACTGGAGGGCTGTTCCCGTACAAGGACATACATAAGTACACCTGGGTAAGTCCTAAAGGAGCAAAAAGCCAGATACACCATGTGCTGATAGACAAGAGGCATCAAAGCTCAATATAAGACATAAGGAGTTATCGTGGTGCAGACTGTGATTCGAACCATTCTCTGATTAGGATCAAACTCTGTCAGAGGCTCCAAATTGGGAAAGAAACAAGTATGAAGTCTGTAATTTGAAAAAAAAAAACCCATAGTACAGACTGAATTTTAAATTGAGCTGAAAAATAAATTCAAACTCTTGAACGCGGATGGCCTCACGGTTGACCAACATTGGGAGACACTAGAGTCAGGGCTAAAACAAACAGGTAAGGAAGTAGTAACGATTCAGGAAAAGAGAAAAGCCAAGAAATGGTTCATAGATGCATGCGAAAAGGCAGTGGAGGAAAGAGGAAAAATCCTCTGCTTAGCACAAACGGATCAAGCTATGCTGGACAAATACACAGCCACCAGAAAAACGACAAACAAAATAAATAAGAACAGCAAAAAGAGAATTCCTCAATGAAATCTCACATACTATTGAGGAAAACTAGCAGGCTAGAAATATATACGAATTCTTCGTAGATATCAGAAAAGAAATGGTACGATACAAAGCGAGAAATACGCAAATGCGAGCGAAAGATGGCAAATTGACGGCATCAAAAGAAAAAATCCTAAGTTTCTGGAAGGAACACTCCTCAATCAAGGGCACCCCACAAACGAAGAAGACATTTACTACACTAAGGACATCGACCCACTTGAGGTTGAAAAACCAGATATTCTGGATGAGGAAATATCTATCACTAGGCTTAAAAGAAGAAAGGCTCCCGGGAAGGACAACCTACCATCAGAATTGTTCAAGGATGGGGGAGAACACCTCAGAGCAAAGCTATTAGAGCTAATCCAGAAAATATGGGAGGAGGAACAGATACCAGAAGCCTGGAACTGATCTGTCCTATCCTTAAAAAGGTCCATGTACGAATGTGTTAATTACAGAGGCATAGCACTCCTTCGGGTTGCCTATAAGATAATGACTAATATTCTGCTAAGTCAGATATATCCAAATTTGTCCCTCACCTTCTCACAGTCAAGCAAAGGGAGTGTCGACTTCAGGCATGTTTTGAGCTTCAAAAAATCAGCTCAAAGAGGACCCTGAATTTTTTTCCAAGGTGATACTAGTGATGAATCGTAGTGCTATGGATACCACCCCGAAACAAAGCAGCAATCAAGCCAGTGGGGGACAGCTAGCTCTCCTTGTCCTGAAAAAGCTCGCCAAGTGAAGTTAAACATCAAGACAATGCTTAATTATTTCTTCAATTGCAGAGGTGATGTGCATGCGGAGTTCGTTACCGCAGGTCAAATTGTCAACCAGAAGTTCTACTTGAAGGTTTTGAAAAGATTGAGGGAGAGAATCTGGAAGAAAAGGGCAGGTCTTTGGAGCTCAGGCGACTGGTTCTTCCATCATGACAACACGCCGGCCCATACCGCCTTCTCCATAAAGCAGTTTTTGACCAAAACGGCATCATACCAATTGTCCACCCACCCTACTCACCAGATCTAGACCCTGTGATTTCTTTTTGTTCCCCAGACTCAAAAGAGACACGAGAAGAAATACACGGTGGGCCAGACCCCCTTACCGTGCACTCCCCCCCCCACATCCCTATAAATTGCATATCGTTGTGTTCCTTGTAACTATTTATTAAAAAAAAGCCAATGTTCCCACAAAAAAAAGTGAACGCACTGCCCCAAAATGGCGTCCAAAGATGGCGGATTGGCGACTTTGAGTTTAGTTAGGTTGGATTCGAGCCAGCACCAATGTGAAGCAGCAAATCCTACTGTGAACTAGGTAAAATCTTTTGTCACATATTTGGAACAACTAATGTTGGGAAGGAAGAAGAACAGAATGATCTATGATCTGTATGGGAATATTGATATGAGGAGGCACACCAATTCTGGAAGACTACATTGGGCTGGGAACAATGCCAGATAATACCACAGGGAATTAGGAGAAAAGTTGCTGAACGGAATGCTCTAACAGACAAGCGGAAGAGACAGACAGACCTTAGATGGGAGGATGATGTTATCCAGGATGCTCGAGACCTCCTGAATACCTACAACTGGCGAATGACTGCAGAGGATAGATTCACCTAGCAAAGGCTTATTGAGTAGGCCAAGGTTTGCAGTACTACGGAGTAAACAATAAATAAATCATACACAAATACAGGCCCCGGTCTGGCTCAGTTCGGGGCACTCGGCAAAAGTCTGAAGTGGGGCCCCCTTATCAGGACAATAATATATAAGTGGTTTCTAGGGATTAAACCCATTCAAATTTTTTTTTTAAATTCACTTATCAGGATGTTCCTAAGGCCCTCCAGCGATTTTTGTTTAACCTCCCCAACAGTGGCAAAATGCTTTTAGTCTGTGTGCCAGACCCCCTTACCGTGCACCCCCCCCCCCCCACATCCCTATAAATTGCATATCGTTGTGTTCCTTGTAACTATTTATTAAAAAAAAGCCAATGTTCCCACAAAAAAAAGTGAACGCACTGCCCCAAAATGGCGTCCAAAGATGGCGGATTGACGACTTTGACTTTAGTTAGTTTTTTGGTCACTGCGAATCAGCATTTGGCTTAATTTCCTCATAGTTGGTCTTTTATTAAAGCTGAATAGTCATAGAATAATAAACCATGAAGAAATATTAAAAAATAATTGGCTTAGGCTATGAAAAACACTACTAAAGTCAATTTTTTTAACAAAAAAATTTTCAAGTTAAAAATCAAGCGTCATTTGTAATTAAACGGCCTACAATAACGCAAAACGTGCTGAAATAAACCATCTGGAGAATATATTTTTCTTTCCAAAACGCTGATTATTTTTTAAAAACTTTTGAACAGTTCCGTAGAAAATGCACTTATGCGGCAGAAAAGCGGTACTGGCGTGGGTGCCTACAGGCCTCTACCACACCATTCAGTACACATAAATGGCTTAGTTAAAGTGATATAATAACATTTTTGG